CAAAAAGAGCCTCTCAGCTCTCTCGCATTTGGGGATACAACCCAAAACTGAAAACGAAAGCGAACAGGGAAGAGTTCTTGAGGCCCCCCCCCCCAAGCAATCTAGATGGGGACAAACCGCTGGGGCACTTTATCACTGAACTGCTGATAAGGCAAAGCTTGCTGGCTGACAAGCTTTGAAACTAACAGTTCAACAGAAAAACAAAGCAAACTTTTTTTTTTATTTTAGGGTTTTTTTTTGCCATAGGGCACATGTGCACATCAGAGTGAGACAGAGAAACAGACAAAAGGGAAAGAAAGAAATCACCCCCTCCAGGAGGGTTGGCCACACCACAATCCCTTTTCCTCCAATCTCCTTGGATTTAGAGCATGCACGCACATGCACATGATGTGGGTTTTTAAAAAAATTATTTTATTTTATTTATTTATGTTATCTATTTATTCTAATTTGACCAGAGAGGGACAGGGTGTGTGTAGGGGGGCAGTGAGAGAGCCACCAGGTCTGGGACTTGAACCACAGTCAGCCACGTGGGAGTCCAGCACCTTAACTGCCACGCTGCCTGCTGGCCCCAACACATGATGTGTTTTGTTGTTGTTTTTTCATGATGTGTTTTTCAAGTCACTGAGTCCTGGACTCGAACCGTGCATCCAGCCATGTGGGATCCATTCACCTTAACCAAAATGTCACAGGCTGACCCACGGTACCTCTTTAACTAAGTAATCAAAGTAACAGGACAAGGGGCTAGCAAGTGTCATGGTGGTTAAGGCACACAATCTCACATGGCAGAATGCACAGTTCAAGTCCTGGTCCTGATGGCTTGAAAAGCACACTGGGCATGTATACGTGCGTGCCAGAATCCTGAGAGGAGAATGGCAGAGAAGGAATTGCGATGTGGCTATCCCACCTGGGGGGTGCTTTCTCACTTCCCTCTCTCAGTCTCTGGTGAGCACATATGCCCTATAGCAAAAAAAGAAAAAAAGAAAGAAAGAAAGAAAGAAAAAACAAAGAACAAAACACAGGACAAATGGAACCAGTCATCTGATAGAATGCAATGGGAAGAAAATCGCACTTTTGTGAAAGTCCTGCCGAAGACTGTACCTGGGTCTAATCAGACAAATCTAAACGGATTTGCAAAATAACTGGCCTGTCATCCTCAACAATGAGAAAGTCAGGAACGTAAAAAATGAGGACTTGCTGCAGACTGAAGCAGACTAAAGGGACATGAGAAATAAACGTGAACGTGATTCTGGACCAGACCCTTGGGCTCGTGGGGACCTCACTGGGACCTCACTGGGAAATGGAGAGTTGAAAGGAGGCTGAGGCCTAGATGACAGGAATGTGTGGATGTCCTGACTGTTACATCGTAGCTGTGTAGGATTGCCCCTATTTGCAGGAAATACTAAAGTACTTGGGAGAGAGAAGACAATACATTCTCAATTTACTCTCAAATGATTGAGAAAAATTGTTCTGTGCATTCATACAAATTTTCTGTAAGTTTGAGATGGTTTCACAAAAATAGGGGAGAAAAAAAAGACCGGGGTAGAAGGGGTGGTGTGGAGGTACTCTTTGAAGAAACTTCAGATGTTTTTTTCACAAGTCAGGGTTGCCCCTGGCACTGCTGTTGTTAATATTGGAAATGCTGTATGATGCTGTAAGAAAAAAAGAACTAAATCAAACAAAACATGAATAACAAAAATCCAACAAGGTGTGAAGATTGAAAGGGGATATACGAAACTGGTTTTGTTTGCAGAAGACATAATTATCTCTATAGAAAACCCAACAGAATCAATAGGCAAACTAGGGAAACAGAGAAAAGAGTTCATTAAGGTTGTTGGGTAAAAAAAAATCAATTATTTTCCTCTACAAACAAAAAAAATGCAGTATTTGCAACGTTTAAAGTGGACATAGAGGTTTGGTCAACGGTACAGAGTTACAGTCAGAGAGCAGAAAAACCCTCTGGTGTTCTATTGCTCAGTAGGGTGACCGCACGTAGGTAACACGATGTACTTCAGAAGAAATGACTGTTTGAGGTGACCGACATGCCGATTGCCCTGAGTGATCATTCTACACATACACATGTATGGGAACATCACATTGTACCCCATAAATATGTGCAATTATTATTTATCAATGTATTATTTATTTTAAAATTTGCCAGAAGGCATGTGTGCTCTCCAGAGAGAGAAAGAGGGGGAGAGAAAGCACCCCCCTCCATCAGGGGTGGTCATGCTGCAATCCCTTCTCCTCCACTTCTCCTTCTGTCTGGATTTTGGCCATGCATGCACAAGGGCCCTTCCTTTTTCTCAAGCCACCTGGTTTGAGACTCAAACCATGCAGACCCCAGAAGATGATTTCTCGCTTCTGTCTCTCTGTCTCTTTCTCTCTTTGGTGAGTGTACAGGCCCTAGAAAAAAATCTTTATCTAAAAAAAAAAAAAAGATTTGGGGAACATGGACTCAGCTGCTGGATCTAGGACTCAAACCCATAGTCACCCCATGTGGGATCCAGTCACCTTAACCACCATGCCACTCACTGGCCCAACTTCTTCCCTTTTAAAGAGGAAATTCAGCAGGGCCAGTAGGTGGCATGGTGGTTAAGATGACCAGATCCCACATGGCTGACTGACTATGGTTCAGACCTAGTGGCTTGAAAATTATTCTGGGCATTCAGGCATGCCCAAAATCCCAGGAGGAGAGTGGAGGTGAAGGGATTACGGCATGACTATTCTTTCCCTTTCACTATATGTTTCATAGCACACACGCTCTATGGCAAAAACCTTAAAAAAAAAAAAAAGTAAAATATTACTTGTTCTTGGAAGTCTTCTCTGTCTCTCTAAGCATTCATTCAATTCTTTATTCATCCATCCAATGACACATGCAACAAAAACTGAGCACTTTTATAAGAATACAAGACATTAAAAATATAATGGTTGGGACCAGCAGATTGTGTAATGGTTACATTGCTGGACTCCCACATAGTCAACTGTGAATTCGAGTCCCAGATCCAGCAGTTTAAAATGCATGCCAGGCATGTGTGCATGCATGCCCAAAATCCCAAGAGGAGAATGGAGGAGGGATTTCATCAAGTCCATTGCCCCTAGGGGGGGTGATTTCTTGCTTTCTGTCTGTTTCTCTAGTGAGTGCACACATCCTATAGAAAAAAAAATCTTTAAAAAAAAAAATATATATATGTATATATATATACACACGATGGAAGCCCAGCTACAGTAGCTCAAGTGGTTAGGACATTGATCTGCAGTGCTTGAGCCACATGGAAGGGCAGGGTTTGGATCCCAGGTTGACCTGAAACACAACAGATAGAAATGTTCACTGGACATCCTGGCTAACTAGGCCAGGAAGTGGGTGGGACTACAGTGAGATGAGACTCTGAAATGGGTACCTGTGTCTCCCTTATGAAATAAATAAAATTGTATATAGATAGAGAGCCAAAAATAGAGGCTCGCCATCAGGCTCTTGGAGGTCTATCAGGAGAGACTGAGTTTAATAAATATATTATGTTCACATTGATGAATATATAATTCTCAACTGAGATAACATGCTCCGAGGAAACAAACACCACTCTCTGAGAGAACATAACCAACTATTCTTTTCTGGATTGGAGTGGGCTGTGGGTCTTCGGGTGGTTCAAGGAAGGCCTCCCTGGGGAAGTATAATGGATATCAATTTGGAGGCAGAAATAGACAAAATGGAAGCAAAAAAGCCATTCTAGACTGGGCACTAGAGGGATCAGGATAATTTGAAAGAGGCTATGGACTTGGAAGGTAGAAACCAAGAGGAAGAGTTGGACAAGATGGGGGTTTAAGTGGACAGAGGTCAAGGCGCAGAGGTCATGGCCGGATTTGCATTTTGGAAAGATTACTCTAGGTGCTATGGAGGATGAATAATGTGGAGAGAAAGAAAATGGGAGATAGAACACTTAAAAGACTTTTGCCAGCCTCTAGTTGAGATTAGGATAGATTATGGTGGTGGTAATAAAGATGAAGAACATAGATGAATTCTAAAGACATTTATTTATTTGAATTGCTTATTTAATTTTATTATTATTATTTTCCAATTTGCTATATAGGGCATGCACGCTCACCAGAGAGACAGAGAGAGGGAAAGTGAGAAAGCAAGTCTCCAGGTCTGACACTCACAGGGTTGGCCATATGGGCATCCTGCACCCCAACCGCCACACCCCTGCCGGCCTCTCTAGAGACATTTAAAAGATAAAATTAGAGTGAACAAGAATATGGAAGAGAGGGAGGAGTTAGGAATAACTTCCTGGCCCCTGCTTTTACAACTGGGACCGCTTTGGGCAGGGGGTTATCTTGCCCCCTCCCCCCTAAACTCCATTTCCGTTCTCTAGTAGGGATCACTCCTTCCATTCTAAGCAGAACATCCTAGGATCTCGCAGCCTCACCCCATGCCTGCCAGTGACCAGCAGCAGAGGCCCCTGGTCAATCCTCCAGGACTGCCTAAGGCCACTTGAAGGTGGGGAACTCCCCCACCTGTGTTGTGTGAGTTTCAAAAACGAGTCTTGATATGGAGAGCACACCTTATGGAGTTGTGTGACATCAGTGAGCAAACGGTCGTTTTTCTTTTTGATCTTGTTAGGCTCAGTTCGATTTCCTCCCACCCTCTCCGCCCGTTTGGAGCCAGTTCCTCGTCTCTGTAAGTGTCGGCCATGGCATCCCCAAAGCTTGGCGCGGCACTACGGCCAGAGACAGGTCAGGGACTCTGGCAGTCTCCGACACCATTACCACAATCAGGAAGACCAGCCTTTCCACAACGCAGCGGCCCCTGCTCGCCCAGGCCCCGCCCTTGCCAGGCCCGAGACCTCGCGAGACGACGACAGCGCCCGTTGTGGGCTAGACCCGAAGCGCCACGCCTTCCCCGCCCGAGAACCGCCTCCTCCTTCCTCCCACTCCGCCTGCCGCTGCGCTCCGCTCTCGGATTGGCTGCCAGGACTGGGTCCATTTTTTTTTCCCTGCCAAGAAGCGGCTCCACAGCTAATCCTTCTTTTGTCCCGCCTCCGGAGCCTGTAGATTGGACGACCGAGTCCAATTGATTGACGCCTTCGCGGGACCATGGACGAGCCAATCAGGAGCTTGGCGTATTTTACAAACCGGGGAAGTAGCTGCAAGCCGGAGCCGAGAGTGTTAGGGAAAAGGCGAAGAAAGTGGGGGCGACCCTGAGAGGTTCCGAGGAAGGTGCGGCACAGAGGTTTTAGGGGGGATGAGGGCTTCGAGGTCTCATCGGGAGGAGAGCAGGTCGGATGTCTGAAGGTGGCACCCAGAAAAGCGGCCTTGCAGTCGCCTGGGCTTCTGGGCGCATGGTTTTGGGTGGAGGGGGTAAAGTATCAGGGAGGTCAGGACCAGTGCCTGGAGATCTCGCTGACACCTCATCTCTGATCCTGCCTGCCTTCTTCCCTGTCTCAGTTTTAGCAGTCATGACAACTCTCCAAGCCAGGAAGGACCCCCCTCTCCGGGGTGTATCTCCCACCCCTAGCAAGATTCCAGTAAGGTCTCAGAGACGTCAGCCTTTCCCCACCGTCAAATCGTGCGCCCCGGACCAGGAGAATCAAGATCCAAGGGTAAGCGGGGCCTGGTGGGTGGAGACAGTAGTTAGAGGAGATGGCACACACCTGCAAATGCATCCCAACGCTGAACTGCAGCTTTTTGTCCTCTCTCCTCCCAGATATTGGTGCAGAAGCCACCGCCCAGTATTCAACATCCTCTCGTTGATTCAGCAGGCCCCAGGCCTAAAACCACATGCCAGACAGAAAAATCCCAAAGATCTGTGGGGGTAACTCAGCTCCGGAACCCCTTGGAGGAGCTCAGGCCCAGCCCTGGGAAACAAAATGTGGGATCTGGGCCCACTCCCCAGACAGGTATCTGTTGGAGGGCTGGGAACACAACCTCCCTGGCTGAGTGGAGGAGCAGGAAGGACACAGTGGAGTTTGGGGGCTTTCCACTCCCCCCAGTTGCCTATTTACTGTAAGAATCCTGGGCTCTGCTCCTGGAAAACTCTTCCCTCTTAGACATCTTCTCCTCCTTTCAGAAAAGTGTGGTCTATTCTGAAGCCTTTTCCTGCCCCCTCAGTCACAATCAACTGGTCTGTGCTCTCCTAATTCTGTGCAGTACTACTTTTATAACACTTCCATACTTTGACTTGGGTCTGTTACCTCTCTAGGGTTTGTTGATGGCTTCTTGAGGGTAGGGGCTTTGTCTTATTCATCCTTGAATTCCAGTGCTTAGGAGAGTGTCTCCCATTGGGACCACCAGATGGTGGAATGGTTATGTTGCTGGACCTCCATGTAGTCAACCACTGTTGAGTCCTGGACCAGACCAGGTGGGACCAGCAGGTGGCGTGGTGATTAATGTGCTGGACACTCCCACATGGCTTACCATGATTCAAGTCTCAGACCTGGTGGCTTGCTTTCTCACTTTCCCTCTTTCTCTCTCTGTGTCTCTCTGGTCAAACTAAAAATAATGAATGAATAAAATTAAATAATTAAAAAAACAAACAAACAAACAAACAAAACTCATGCCAGGTACATGTGCATGCATGCCCAAAATCCTGAGAGGAAAATAGAGGAGAGGGGATTGCTGTGTGGCCATCTCCTCTGGGGGATGATTTCTCACTTTTTGTCTCTGTCTCTCTGGCAAGTGCACGTACCCTATAGAAAAAAATTTATTTATAAGAAAAAGTGTGTTGGGGACCATCAATAGTATGGTGGTCAGGGTGCTGGACACTCACACATGGCCATCCACAGTTTGAGTCCCAGACCTGGTGGGTTGTTTTCTCACTTTCCCTGTCTCTCCCCCTCTGGTCAAATTAAAAAAAAAAAAAAAAAGAATACATTAAATAAAAAACTAATTCTTTTTTTAAAAAGTGTGTCTTACATCAAGTTCTATGAGCATCTGGTGAGCTGAATTCAACTGAATATCTCCTTGCTCACCTTGCCCCACAAGGGGACTATGCTCGGGCCTGGCTCCTAGTTTCCCCTTTCTGTTCCATCTCACCTTTCCTTCTCTTCCTTTGCAGAGGCTCCAGGGGCCATAGAGTTTGTGGCTGACCCTGCAGCCCTGGCCACCATCCTGTCAGGTGAGGGGGTGAAGGGCTGGCCGGTTGGGCGCCCACCCAGCCTGGCTCAGAGAGTACTGATTCGAGGAGGGAGCCAGGGAGGCACCATCCAGAGGGGCCAGGTAATGAGAGGCTGTGAGGAGATGGGGCTGGGCTGGGCTGAGGAGGCAACCTCAAACCTGTGCTCATGGCCTCTCTTGGGATCCAGAGTGCTCGGGCCTCTGCATATTTGGCCCCTAGGACTCCCATCCACCGGCTGGATCCTGCCAGGGCTTCCTGCTTCTCAAGGCTAGAGGGACCAGGACCTCGAGGTCAGACTTTGTGTCCCCAGAGGCTAGAGGCTCTGGTGAGTGCTTCTGGGTATTCCTTCCAGGGATAAAGCTGGGCCCTGGGAGAGAAGGTCCATCATGATGAGCCAGGGGTTCTGTTGGGGGAGATGGGTTGATGATGAGGCCTGAAAGTTTGGGGCCCACTGATAACTCTGCTTTCATCTCTTATTCTTATGGGTCAGATTCCACCATCAGGCTCTTGCTTGCACCGCTCCACTCGTCCCAGGTTCCAGGAGCTAAGAAGAGAGGCGTCCCCCAGCCGGTAAGGAGGAGAGGGCCGGGGAGAGAGGGCACTTGAAAAGAAGGAACCAGTGTCATTCACAGGTCCCACAGAGCTGGGGCTTCCATAGCCTTAGGGCTCCTCACCATCCCAGATTGGGAAGGAGAAAACCCGTGATTGCCCAGGCTGTGCTTTTAGAATAGCGTTCAAGCCTTCAGAGCCAGGCCTCGGTGTTCAGCGGTCTCCTCTGGCTGTCCTCTTGCCAGAGAGACAGAGACAGAAAGTGAGAAATCACCCCCCCGGCCATGGTGCAGTCCCTTCTCCATTCTCCTTTTGGGATTTTGGGCATGCACAGAGGCACCTGCCTGGTGTGAGTTTCAAGCCACCTGGTCTGGGACTCAAACTGAGGTTGGCCACTTGGGAGTCCAGTGCCTTAACCACTGTGCCACCTGTTGGCCCCTTATTTTGTTTTTTTTTGTTGTTGTTGGTTTGCTATAGGGTACATACATTAACCGGGGGGACAGAGAGAGAAAGAGGGGGAAAGTGAGAATTCATCCCCCTGGGCAGAGATGGCCACCTCACAATCCCTTCTTCATTGTCCTCTTGGGATTTTGGGCATGCACACATGAATCTGGTGTGTTTTTCAAGCTACCAAGTCCAGGATTTGGAGCCACACAGTCAGCCACATGGGACTCAGCTGTCTTAACCACGACACTGCCTGCTGGCCCCAAGATTAGGGTTTAATTTCTTTCTTTCTTTTTTTTTTTTTTTTTAGAGGTTTTTGCTATAGGGCACATGTGCTCGCCAGAGACAGAGAGACAGAGAGAAAGAGAGAAATCACCTCCTAGGGGGATGACCACGCCGCAATCCCTTCTCCTCCATCCTCCTCTCGGGATCTTGGGCACATACGCACATGTGCCCGGTGTGAGTTTAGGTCACTGGGTCAGGACTTGAACCATGGTTGGCTACATGGGAGTCCAGTGACATAGCCATTACACTAACTGCTGGTCCTGGGGTTTAATTTCTGACTTCTGCTCTCACTAATTGTATTAACTTGCCTTAACCTCTATGAGATTTGATTACTTTATCTGTCAAATGAGGATAATGTTTATACCTCATTAGATATTGTGATGACGATGAAACGATTTTGTAAAGCACATAGCATGTGCCCAGCTCATACTTGGTACTCAGTGACTGCTAGCTGCTGTCCTTATTGTCATCAGGACTTCAGTGAGCCAGGCCTCTGGATTGCTCCTGGAGACCCCAGTCCAGCCTGGTGAGTGTGTCTGGCTATGAGGACCCAACAGGGACAGGTGGGCTGCGGCAGGAAATGAGACAGGAAGAAGTTTGGAGGTGGAGGATGGGGACATAGGGAGGTGGGGAGGCTGGACTGGAATGAGCAGGAGATGAAGAGACCTTCTGGATAGGCCAGAAATTGGCCCAGCTGCACTTGTGCTAAAGGAGATGGTCTCTATTTCTGCCCTTCCCTGTCACTGCCTGCCAGACTTACCTTCTACTCACTGTTCTAGCCCTAGTCCCTGGGAGCCTTCACCACCCCCCTGCCCGCCTGGGGTGTCCAGGTTAGTCAGTGTTTACTGAGATAGTGCTAGGCCCAGAGAAGGCGCTGAATGTATGCCTGCCCCTAATGGTGCAGGGCTGAGGGGGCTGTAAACCGTCTTCAAACCTTCCAGGCCTGTGCTAGACTTTGGTGGGCATTCTAGTTCTTGCCTCCTCCTAGCTTCCTCTCTGCCCGAAGGAGAACATGAGGTTGTCACTCATTCAGATGAAGGAAGAAGGGCCCTTCTTGGTCTGGCCCAGCGAGTTCCACTGAGAGAAACCCGAGAGATGACACGTACCAGGGTGAGATGGGACCTTCTTGGGTGGGGGGGTTCAGAGGATGCTTGGAGGAATTCCACAGCAGCAGCCAGCACTGAGGATTGTGGGTAAAGTCAGGCAGTCCTGGCCCTCAGGATATTGCTAAGTCTGGGTTTGCCCCAGGTGAAACCAAACCGTCTCCAGAGTGGCACTGACCTCTTTACCAAGTGGCCTGGGTGAGAAGTCATCGACTGGTATACATTTGTGTCAGTGTTGAGGGTGAGACAGATCTGACACTTGTCAGCCAAAAGTATTCATCCCACAAATAATTACTGACCAGCTACTCAGTGCCAGGCACTGTTTTAGGTGGTGTGATGGTTAAGTTGCTAGACTCCCACGTGACCGACCATAGTTGGAGTCCTGGGCCTGGCAGCTTGCTTTCTCACTTCTCTCCCTCATGAGTGCACGTGCCCTATAGCAATTTTACAAAATAATATTAATAGGTGTAGCAGATGGCATAGCAGTTTCATCGCTGGACTCCCACATGGCTGACAACAGTTTGTGTCCCAGACCTAGTGGCTTCAAAATCACTCCAGGCATGTGTGTGTGTGCGCATGACCAACCCTAGGAGGAGAATGGAAGAGAAGAGATTGTGGCCTGGCCATCCTCCATAGGGGGTGATTTCTCACTTCCCTCTCACTGTCACTGTATCTCCCTCTCTCTCTCTGGTGAGTGCACATGCCCTTTAGCAAAAATCTCTTAAAAAACAATAATAAATAAAATAAAATAAATAATTCTTTTAAAAATAATAATAATTGTAAGACACTGAAGGGGGATTGGGAGTTTGGTATTACAGTTCCAAATAGGTTGGTCAGGAGACTGTCATTGAGTTGATTTTTTTTTTTTTTTTTTTGGGGGGGTTGTTCTTCAAGGGGCGCGCG